ATATATCAGGATTATCTGTTTGGAGACCCTAAGAACAGTTGCCATTGGCCTTTTGAGCATTTCTACCCTTAATCCAACTCTTCCAATAATTCTCTGGGAAGCGATTGTTTTGATTGGACCTTTATTTGAAGGCATTCAGATATGGCAAGTGTGTTGTTACAAGGAGAACTTGTTAGAAAGGATCCAACCCTAATACACACCTTTCCTGATTTCAAACCATCTAATGACCACAAAAACATGTTTAAACACATTTTGTTTAGAATAAAATCATGCATGGAAAGCTGGAAACCTGGTTACTAGCAATAATTTTTGATCCATCCTCATATATTCAAAAGCACCTAACTTACTTATTTAAATTGTCTTCACTATGAGCTGGCATCATGATTTAACCATGTGGATGTAACCAGGTTTGGGAGAGTACTGGATCGGGGGAGGCTGATGCAACAGAGGAAGAGTCAGAAACAAACAAACAAACACGAACAGAAATCCTAAGAAAACATTTGTTCATAAAGTAACAATGAATTTCAAGTGAGTAATAGCACTAATCAAAACTTCCACATTCGATTCAAATTCTAAGGCCTGTTAAAATTCTAACTACATTTAAAGTAGTCAGTAGCTGAATGCATGTAAAATATCTTAGGAAAATATAATTGCCTTTTCAAAACTGGTTTCTATGTTCACTGATCTGAGGTATATATATCTATTTCTGGCATAGTTAATTAGTTTTATTTTCTTCATGTCGTTGGGATGTCCATTTAAGTTATTGGTCAAATATTAAGTTGTTTCTGAATCACAGTGTTCCCTGTGTGAAACAGAAGTAAACACTGCGCTGTGATGTTTGAGCCCATTATTACAACCAGTGTGTCAACCCATCCCCTGAGGGCTTTCTCTTTGACTCTGACCTTCTACTTTCCCAAGCGTGATGTCTCTCTTGTTTCCTCCTTGTAGTATGTCCAAACAACATGACAGGACAAAGCTGCCCCCTTCTGCCTTCTAGGGATCCTTTGGATTGGACTTCTCGCAATACAGATGTGTTGATCATTCTGACAGTTCAGGGTAGAATCAATATTCTCTGCTAGCCCCTGGATTCTAATGCATCAGTTCTTTTTGGCCTACTTTATCTATTATTCTGCTTTCACAGGCATACGATGTCATTGAAAACACCACGAGTTAAGGCCAGGTTCACCTTAGTCCTCAAAGTGACATCGTTGTTTTTGACACTGTCGAGGAGTATTTCTCATGGATTTTCCTGATGCAACACATCTTTGGTTTCTTGATTGTTGCATCCAGGGGTGTTGATTATGGATCCCAACATAATTTAGATCCTGGCAAATTTGTTTGTTTATTTGTTTATCATAATGTTATTTATTGGTCCAGTTGTGATTTTTTTCCTTCTCTGTCTTGAGGTGTAATCCACCAGGAAGGCTATAATCTTTGATCTTCATCAGTAAGTGTATCTGGTCTTTCTTAGCATAAAAGGTTATGTAAAATAAAAAAAAGATTGTATCATCCACATTTCAAAGGTTGTTAATGAGACTTCCTCCAGTACTGATGAACTATTCATTCCTCTCGAATTATTCGCTCTGTATGCAAATGAAATACGTTTGGTAAAAGCATGTAATCCTGATACACACCATCTCTGACTTTAAACTGCTTGTTCTGTTTAAGCCACTGCAGGTTTTGCATGAGCACAATGGAGTTTTCTGCAATTCACAATCTTTGCGGTGCAATATCCATAATGTGTTGTGATCTATACAGTTAAATGTCTTTGTGTAGCCAATACAACATAGATACTCTTTGCTTTGAGTCAAAATCTGCCTGACATTGACAATGAATCCCTCATTCCACATCCTCTTCTGAGTCCTGCTTGAATGTTTTATAGTTCTTTATCGATGTTTTCCTGCAACCATTTAAAATTATTTCTAGCAGAATTTTCTTCTGTGTGCTAATAATTATATGGTTCTATAATTTCCATAATCTATTGGGTCACCTTTCTTTTTAAGGAAATCACATGGAACCCCTTATGGTCTCAGACATAGTGGACAGAAGGATCCAAACCACCACTGCCCTGTGATGATTCATATGAAGCAGAGATGGATATTCCTCCCTCCTCCAATCTCCTTTGTCCTATTTTGCCACCAGCTGCCACTCTGTGGCCCACTCTACTTCTCTGTTAGGTTCAGAACTCTGCTTCAGTGGCCACACAGAACTCACAAACAGTACCCATGTGAATGGGGGGTTCGGGAGGGAAGTTATCAGTTTATAAACGAGGGTTAGAACTGATAAATGCCCAATAATCACTCCTCTCTGCAAGCCAGGCTCTGCACAAAAGACCTCAGCTTTACTTGTTCCAATGGCCAGAATTCTCCCATGTTGCCCGAGGTCCCTGCTGCTGCCGGGTCGGGTGCATTATTGTCACGGTCTAGTCATCCAGAGAGCTTGGACCTGATACACTCTGGGCTCTTTTTTTATGTGCATCGTCATGAGAGTTTCTGCTTCTAAGATGGTACATTTTATTGGACTGGATAAATTGGTTGGAGTATTGGTTCTTGATTACGTAGTATTTTCTGACATGGTTGGATGTAAACCCATTATATTTGGTACAATTCCTCTGTATTCCTTCCATCTTCTTTTGGTAGTTCCAATGTCATTCAATTGTTCATATAAACTTTCAATACTGATTCTTTCTTCTTCACTTTTTCAGCTTGAAAAGTTTGAGCATGCATTTCCTCTTCAGTTTTCTACCTCTAACTCTTTACACATTTCATTATAGTTCTTTATCTGCTCAAAACACCCTTTGAAATCATCTGTCCAGTGCTCTCTCTTTTTTATTTTTTACAAGCCTTCTTGTCAGTTAAGTTACTCTGTGTTCAAGGGCAAGTTTGGTAGTCTCTTCCAGCATCCATGTTTTTTCTTTCTTTCTTTTCTATCTTTTTAAAGACTATTGCTTTCCTCGAGTCTAATGTACTTATCATTTTCAGTGTAAAACGTGTCCAGTCTTCAGTTATTAGTCTCCTATATGCTAAATCTGTTCCTGCAATGGTTTCTATGTTCAGATGGAATTCAATGTCATATTTTGACTCTTGTGGACCAGATTTCATTTTCTTCAGCTTCAATTTGAACTTGCACATGAGCAGTTGATGGTTTACTTGGCAGTTGGCCATTGGCCTTGTTCAGATTGATGATATTGAGCCTCTTCATCCTTTTCCACAGATGTAGGCAGTATGATTCACATACGTCCCATCTGCTAAGATCTACACATGCTGACTATATATTATCGAAGAAAAAGAAAGATATTTTCAATGAATAGATCACTGGTCTTGCAAAATTATTTCATGTGATTGTTTCTATTTCTAAGGCCACATTCATAAAACACTAATCCATCCAGTTTCTTCATTTCAAACATTTAATGAGTTTTAGACTCCAAAAGATGTTGAAAATCTTTAATTTCTTCATCGTTGATGTTAGTGGCTAGTACATACATTTGAATAATGGTCGTGGGTGTACTGATATTAGCCTATCACTGAGAGCCTTGCATCTTAGGCTAGGTCTTGAAACGTTCCTTTGGGGGATGAATGTGATGCATTCTTCAACGTGTCATTCTTGGCATAGTAGATCATTGTCTGATACAAAATGCCCAATAATATTGTGTTTCAGCTCACTAATGCCTGGGATATTGATCTTAAAATCTTACATTTCAGTTTTTACAAATTACACTCTCCCTAGATTAAGGGTTTGTATATTCTGTGTTTTAATTAGTAATGGACATTTGCAGCTGTTTCTTCTCTTTTTGAATTATTCCACATCAGTCATATTTTCTGTCTTCCAAGCTGAAAGGTTAGTCTTTCAGCACTCTATCGGACAATCATGCATTTAAATATATTTTATTATTAATTTTATTCTCATTGATTATAGTATTTATTAGAAAATTTATGAAATAATAGTATAAACATTAAAATAGAAACTGTAACAGCTCTATTCTTCATACTCTTATTTATATAATCTTTATCTTTGACTCAATTTCTCCATACAATTTTGTTATGGTGTTTTCTGTATTGGAAAATTATATTCTGCATTTATAGAGTCCTCAGTGTATTTTCACAATTTACTCAAATATTTATAAGTAAAAATGATGTGAGAAGGAAAGCTTATTTGATATGGGCAGTAACTTAGGAATTATTCTATATGCTCAAATTCTCAATATTTTCATTATTTGATCATAGTAAATTTTGGAAGTTATTTTCTACTAAAGACCATAATACAATCAAATAAAAGTTTACATCTCTCATTTATATGGAAACTGATGATGTCTGGTATCTATTATATCCTTCTCCTCATTAACACTTCAGGAGTATTCACATTCTCCCAGTGATTTTAATGGAATACCCTTCGGGAAAATGTGCTTTTACCAAATACTGTTGCACAGTAATATCAGCAGTAATAAATCACAGAAAGAACATGTTGATAGCCTTTTGAAAGAGTCATTGGACAATTTTGATGATCTAATGATTATATTAGAATCAGGACATGGAATTCAGTTTACCCACTAACTACAGATATTAATAAAAAAAGAATTTCAAAAGCAGATGTGCTTTTCGAATGCTTTCTACACTGGCAGTGTATCAAAAATTAACTTTGAAATGCTCATTAGTGCCCTTTGTCATACTGTAAATACATTCCATTTTCTTCAGAAACAACAAACCCCCTGCCATTAAGTTGATGTCAACTCATAGTGACCCTATAGGTCAGGGTAGTACTTTGTCTGCTAGTTTGTGAGACGGTAACTCTTTACAGGAACAGAAAACCCTCTCTCTCTCCTTAGGAGCAACTGGAGATTCAAACTGTTGACCTTGTGTACCATAGTCCACCATGTAACCATTATGCCACCAGGGCCCAGTTCCTTTAGAAATATTAAAAATCCAGCGAAACCTCAGTAATGAAAATTCATTAATGCATTCTAGAGAAATTGACACCTGCTTTTCCTTCTTTTTCAAACCCAGGGACCTGACAACTGTACAAAGTGCTCCCATTTTAAGGATGGCCCAAACTGTGTAGAAAAATGTCCAGATGGCTTACAGGGAGCAAACAGTTTCATTTTCAAGTATGCTGATCAGGATCGAGAATGTCACCCATGCCATCCAAACTGTACCCAAGGGTAAGTAAGTTTCTTTGCTGGCCAAAGACTCACAGGGTTAGGTACAGAGTCAAAGTCAAACACTCCTCTCTTTATCTCTGCCACTGTCTACTGATTTTATAATACTCTCATACACCACCGCTTCTCTTTATATTTAATAGATTGATTTTAAAAGAACCCATTTCTAAAATAATATGTTTTAAGGAATCACACTAATTCACTTTAAAATATTTCCATTTCACCATTATCTAAAACTATTCTATAGAGACCTTCATGCAGCTGGTAACAGGTATTCTTTAAATGGAATGTAGAACTCCTCCAAATTTACCTCGATGCTCATGATACCAGGAAGACAAGATGGTAATTCTGATGTTACACTTATTAAAACTTTAACCAACCTTTTCAGCTTCCTTGTTGTTACAATTAGCTGAAGATGAGGATATATTGTTTTGATAAATATGGCTCTGAATTACTTCTTCAACAAAATTTAAACAAAGGTAGTGGTGCCAGGAAAAGATAAAAAAACACTGTGATGTGTATGTGAGTAAGTTGACATGTTCCTTCTGTTGAAGTCATTGAACTACAGATTATTCTAAGCTTTACTTGAGCAACATACAAAATTCAAGATGGGCGCACTTTTTTCTGTTTTTCCAAAAGTATGTATTATGCAATGAATAATAATTAGGTTGCCTATGATTCTTATAATGATTGCATGACAAATGTACATGACAGAAAGAAGAAAATTAGTACTTGATCCCGCAACCATCAACAATGATTTCTTAAAAGACCCCAAGACTTTGTAAGAACATTTCTCTTTTAATGCAGTTTTGAATACTGTCGCCCTCCTGTCCATCAACTTCTCGGTTGTGCACGCATGCGCAGGTGCAGGTTCCCTCGTGTGCAGCACAAATGCACTCATGATGCTCTCTGGTTGAGAATCATCTTAGGGACTTTATATCTGGCAGGAAAATGTGAGCTTCTCTGAAGAGATTTTCTGCCAAATTACTTTCTCACTGTTAGGGACTAGTGAAGACATTAAGCAAGGAAGATCATTTTCTGGAAAGAAGACGTCAATTTGCAGATACTGCTACAATATCCTGCAGGCCAAGAATCAGCTTAAGTCATTGTGTGAAGTAGCAGATGCTCAAAAGGTAAAGCAAGATCCTGCCATCCAAATGCAAATCCAGCTGGGAAAAACTGCCGCCTCATCAGGACATCTGAGCACCTAAATGGAGGGTACCGACTTAGTCGGGTGGACACTTTCCTTCAAGGAAAAGAGGATTTATAACCTGCTACCCTGGTGGCTTTGGGCCCCCTGGAGTTAAGTGCATTTCCTCAAAGAACGCTGGGGCTGCTGGGCAGGAGACTCTGCAGCAGAGGAGGAAACGTCGCCTGCTAAAATAATCTTCGCAAGAGGGTTTTATTGTTTTGCCGCTAAAATTAAACCAGTAAATTATTCAATATAATGTTGATGTTAATAGCTGTTGCCATTCAAAATTAGACCTTTTGCTGGTTTTGCAAATCTAATTACAATGAAGCCATTAGGGAAATGAAAGTAAGATCCAGAGACATAGTCAGGAGGGATGTGGGACTGCTGTCTTCAAAGCCCTTTGAAATCATTGCTATGCAATTAAAGAAAACACATCTATAGCGGTGGCAGGAGAAATAGGAGTCAATGAAAATCGATCTATTTATGACAGTAAGAAAATGTAGATCTAAGGCAAAAAGTAGGATGAAGGTGTCGTAGGGAACACATTTCTCCAGGTAATTTGGGAACTCAAAGGAAGTACCAGGTCCCAGTTAGGAACTCCACGCAAAGGCGAGGGAGCTACTGTGACAGCTCATTGCTGCGGGGTTCCAGTAAGGCAGAGTGCCGGTCGTGCACTTGGAGGCACGGTGAATGGATTCTCTGATGACTGATCTGATTCTGAAGATGGTTGTTTCTTTGCCTTCATTTAACTTCTTCTTCGTCATTTCAGATAAACTTCCTAGTATCTGTAATCATTCCCTTCATCCAAGTTCTGTGATCGCAGCCCCAGAGTAAACATTTGGAATCCAGGGTCCTATATGTGCCCCGCTGTTCCGCAGCACGGTGCTTGGAGATCCCGTAACCGGGCGATGACGTGTCCTGTGCAGTCTGTCCTGTCCAAATCGAGTATGAAGTTATGATGTTCCCAAGAAAGAGCACAAGGGCAGTGGTGATGATGGTTTGAATGGCTGTTATTAGTCCTAACTGCATGTAATAACTCCGTGATCGGTTAAATGTGAACTCATCAGCCCGGCTGCACATCTGAAAAACAACCTCGCTTTTCTATGCCAATGTTGTGTCAGATGGTTCCTGAGCCAATTAATGGAAATAGTCTTTCAAATCATATTTTTTTAGGAGGAAAGCTCTTGCTTTGAAGCCTCTTTAATGATTTTCTGCTAACAAAATTATCTGCGTAATACTTTAAAAGCATTTCTGATTCCAAAAGTACATTAAATATATTCTCTATAATAAGTTAGATACTTTTAAAATAAGTTATCCATTTAGCCCCTATGATAGGCTCACTAATGACCCTAGAGTGAAAGGGGAAAAGAAAACAAAAACAAAAACAAAATAAGAACAATGTCGCTTCCTGCCTTGGTTACAGGACTCCAATGACAATAACTTTATTACATTTTACTATTTTTTCCATTATTTTGCATTTAAAATCTTTTCTGTACCAGATAGAGTGATTGGTGAGTAGGTACAGAAATGAGAAAGATATATAAACATTGTGTGTTTTTGTTCACACAGTGTATACCCATCCATTAGAGTCTTCTACACAGCTGTTTGGAATAATGAAGGAAAATAGAAAATTTAGGAATATTTTTTCACACTTAAATATAGAAAAACAAAAGTTCCAAGAAAATTTATGAACTAAATTTAATATATAGTCAAAGTAGTGTAAGGCCCCGGGATTATCATTTCCTCATGGCAGTTCCTGCTAGCTTGTCTGTTTGATTTCCAACTAAACCAATATATTAAATAAAGACTAGAGATGCTTATTATCCAGAGAATTTGAAATTACCAATAAATGCTTTGTTAATATTAAAAGCATGATTCCATGTTATTAAATTTATAGATGCCTGAATATTTCTATCAGTCCTTTGAATATATTCAAAAGTTATATCATGAAAGAATTCTCCCTGGGAGAGAAAAGACAAGAGGGCTGTTTACAGAATTATTAAATTCTATATTTAGAATGAAACGTACAACAGTTTCCCATTTCCGTTTTAAAATATGGAACAGGTTTTGTCAGAATATCTCAGCTGTGCAGGCAACATGAGTACCTTTAGCTCCTGGACAATGAATAAATAAACATAAGAATAATTGATAGATTTCAATTATGGTGTCGATGAAGAATATTGAAGATACATGGCTGCCAGGAGAGCAAGCATCAATCCTGGAAGTGCAGCAGGAATGTCCCTTAGAAGCACGGTGGCAATGACTTACCCCCTGTACTTTGGGCATATTATCTGGAGGAGGACATCATGTTTGTTAGAGGGTCTACTAAAAAGAGGACAGCCCTCAGCAAGATGGATTGACGCAGTAGCCGCAACAATGGACTCCATCAGAAACGCATGTGAGGGCGGCACGCGATGAGAACCTGTTTTGTTCAGTTGTACGTACGACCTCTGTAAGTCAGAACCAGATCAATAACACTTAGTAACAACAGAGGGGCTATAAGTCGGCAAGAAATAGCAACTATTAAATACAGCTCACCTGTCATAATTTTCAACATGTTAGTTAATATTATGATATGACTTTCCCATTTTTTGGTTTGTAGTCTACTTTGGAATGCTAAATTTTTTGAGAGATTTATTATTTCATACCCTAATTCTGACCTTTAATTTGGGGTTTTGTGCCTTCAAATTTCGAGGCCAATCTGACACTCTGGATTCTTCTTCATATTGTCCTTGTTGCCTCATCTTGAACTATCCAGAGTTCATATAGTTTCTCTATGTACTGTAGGTTTCTTCTGATCAGTGCTTTTGCCCTCACTTTTATTGCCCTTTAGAAATCACCACTGCTCCAATACCAGTTCTCAGTATCCTAAACTTTGGTAGCCTAACTTCTCCATGTGGTTTACGATGATTTGAAGCGAGTTTAGGTCTTCTCTGCTCTAAGACCCCTACTCCTCCCTTTTCCAGTTTATCTTTTCTTGAGGCACCTCAGAAGACAAGCCTGATGATCTACTTCCTCAAGGTCACAGCCTGGAAGATCCCATGACCAATTCCGTTCTCTCATTATGAATCGGAATCAACTCGATGGCAGCTACCAACAACGTCACATCTATCAAACTCTACAAACCACATCTGCTTATACACCTGTCTCCTTCTTAAAGTGGGATCTCACTGAGAAGAGACTAAGCATCTCATGCATCTCCATCCTCCCTCCAGCTCCTGGAACAAGAAGGGCACTTAGTAGGAGTGCAACACTGTTTTTGAAAAAAGGATGAACGAGATTATTACATTACTCATACTTTCCCCTCAAGTAGAGTTTCACTTTCAAATATTTTTGTCCAAAGACACACTGCAAACTAACCAGATTCTTATTTGGAAACAAGTAGACTATTAATTTTACTCGATGGCAACAGTCTATTGAAAAAAAAAAGAAAAGCTTTTTGAAAAATAATAGCAACCTAGAAAAAAGGAATACAATGATAAGAGAGCTATTTGTCATATTTTATAAACGTTTTCAGTGGTTAATTGTCCAGTTGTACATATGATTTTTAGTATGGATTATTGTACCAATACAATGAATGCTATGTGCTCCAGTTATTTTTTACTTGCTCCTTTGCTTAAGACTTATGCCACAGATACGTACCTATATTTCTGTAGATTAAATGTTACTGTATTCTTAAATGAATCAAACTAAAAACTGAAATAAAATAATTCTTTATAGAAATGTTGAAACAAATATAGAAAAATGCAATAACTTATAGTCACTATATGTATATGCACTGATTTTAGTGTCATTTAAATGCTACTTAAATTGACTTTTCATATGAACAGCTATTTATGTCACATAAAGGTTTTAATTTCAGCTTGAGTTCACATGAGTAAAATACATAACCTCTAAATTAGCAACTAAATTAGATAGTTCTATAAATCTTAGCTGGTGAAGGGATCTCAGTATTGCCCTGCAGCTATTTATCTTTACTGAGAGAAAAGAGAAAAGGAAAACAAATTTTAGTTCATGGAAGATGGAAAAATAATATTGCTATAATAGTTCAGAATGAAACCCTAGGACCTATACTTCACAATTGTGTATACTTATATAATTCCATTTAAATGTTAATCTCAGCGGGTTCTTTAGATACCTGGGTCTGTTTATTCATTTCCTTTCATAGTATTTATTTATTTATTTATGTGTGATTTCAATATAGGCAGTTAAAAGAAAAAAAAACAAACCTGTTTGGTTTGCCCATCAGGACACTGCTATTTTTAAAAGAAATTGTCATGAGAAACTGGATTATAGCAAACCGGATATATATGTTAAAATGAATTCATAAACAAAAAGCTGGCTTAAAGACAATCACAACCAAGGAATTTCATAACAGAATGATGTGAATGATCCATGATGATAACATTAAAGCAGGATAAATCATTTTCTGTCAACATCAATATTCAATGAGCATTCAGCAGTAGACTATTCTATTGAATAACTCATTTCCTTTTCTAAAAACTCGTTTTGATTTTTACTTAAACTAAGGCCGCTAAAAGAAACCATATACATGAAGCAAGTAGAGCCACTGAAACACCAAGTTATCAAGACATATAGTCATGAATGTTGCAAGTGAATTGAGAGGATTAGAAATGACGGTGTATTTGGACGTTATCCAGGGAGAAAGGGTGTTATGTCTTTCACCATGAACTTGTTTCTTTGAACTCCACTTGGGTAGTAATTGCAATTCACATCTGCAAACCCATTAAGCAATAATCTTCTCACCAACATCAAATTCTTGGTGTTCTAAAATTATCCAATAATTATAATTAAGAAGTTGACACAACCGATATTTATCTCATTGGTTCTTTTTTTTTAAGTGACTAATATTTCTTTCCTTGTATTTTTAAACTTTGGTTTTCTGCAGGTGCATAGGCTCAAGTATTGAAGACTGCATTGGCCTGATGGATAGGTACTTGGTGTGCTTGCTACCCATGTCCCACCTCCGAGGCTCCATGTGTGAGCACTGGTGCATGTGTGTGCATGTCCCTGTGAATGGAGAGTGATGTTTTCTGTTCTGTGATTGCCTGCAGGTGTGGCGGTCCCACTAGTCATGACTGCATTTACTATCCATGGACGGGCCATTCCACTTTACCACAACATCCTAGGTAACATCTACCATGTTTCCATTTTGTCACTCAAATCCTCTCCAGATGATCATGGATTAAAAAAAAAATACTAACCAGTTGCACCAAATTTATAATATCTGATTTTAGAGTGTTATACAACAGACATAGCACATTTTATTTTTGAAGCCACATTGCTTGTCGCTTTTCCCTCTGTTCAAAATGCTTTCAATGCCTGTATCAATGATTCCCTTCTTCCAATGATATGCCATGCAAAGACGATTCTGAATTGCTCATCTGGGACATTAGTAGACAATTTTCATTCTTAACCCTGTAGATGAGTGCTGGGGGAAAAAAGAGGACTTTTTAAAGGATCAATTTGTAAAACGACATATTTTGGTAGGGTGTTTGTTGTTCAATCTAATTTGATTTCTGACTTTATATCTTTTTCAACTGGTTGGTATATTCTTTGGGAACCACAACTACCATAAAGCCAATATAGAAAATATTCTGTGTGCCTAAAAGTACAACTTGGGATTAAAAAGCACAGCTCATATCGATCTGTTCACACACACGTAAATGGACACTTGATGTCCATGGCGTGTCGTTTTTTTCACTTGATGCTCTTCCATTGTAGCGTACTCATGCATGACACAATTCCACAATGAAAATGAGCCAACAGCTAATGCACCCAACATGGACGAATCTCAAATACATTTTGCTAAATGAAAGAAGCCAAATGCAAAGGACAATATATGCTATGGTATATATGCTGGTCTCAAAAAAGCCAAAGTACAGGGACTTAGGCTAGTACAGAAAATGGGCCAGTCATTGGCAGAGGCTTGGAGTTAGTGTGAGATCGAGGAGCAGGGACATATGGAAATTTAGAGGACTGTTCGAAAGCCTCAGTACCGTGAGCGTGGTAATGGTTGTGCACATACTTAAAAACTATCAAGCTTTGAATTATAAAGAGTAAATTTTCTTGATGTAAATTATGCCTCAATAAGCCCTACATTTTTGTAAAGAAAATAGTAGCCTTACATTTTTATGTTAACAAATCCTTTGCATCTTTATGGTAAGATTACAATTAGCAAAATGTGAGTTGTAAGGCAAAATTACAATTAGCAAAATTTGAATTTTCAAGCAAACAGTGCATTTAAAGTAAACTTGTTCATTAGAGTGTAACATACAGAATAAAAAGTGCATATAACCTAAGGGTGAAACAGTGAATGGCTCAGAATGCAACAATATTGTAACAGGATCAAGAAACAAAAAATGATCAGAACTCAAACCTCCTGGAACATCCTCCCGAGGGTGACAGGAACCACTGCCCTAAATTGTCATACTACAAATCAGCTGACCTGATTTCGCCTTATATGTAAATTGAATCCTATCATAAATGCTGTTTGCATCTGGCTTCTTTTAGTATACATGATATTTATGAGATTGCTTCATGTCATTGAATAGAATCATCTTTTTTTTTACTTATATAGTATTGATTTTAATATTCTCAAAATATCAAATTAGTGATATGTTATACTAATACATTCTAATGATGTAAGTGGATAAATCAACTTCTATGAAGATATGTGCTATCACCGATTTATTTCTACAGCATCGGGTGCTATCAGAACTACACAGTGCAGGTGTTCATAGTGAGGTCAATAGTAAGAGCTAAAATACAAGGAAATTATATATATATATATACATAATTTACATATTATATATTTTTCCTTGTATATATTTTTCATGAAAATATATGTGAATGGATATAATTCATGAAAAAATGAAATCAAAAGACAGTAGAATTTGTTTAGAGAGTGAGAGATTATGAATAAAAAAAACCTAAAACCCAAAGTACAGTTTTATAAACCAAGTTCCATTTTAGATTGTCTCAAATTCATGAAATAATTGCTTTTTTCATTAGATTTTAGTTGATCTCCGGCGCGATCATCTTTAAGAGCATGCTTTCATTTGTTTGATGATTTTCTTATAAAAATTCCAGATGATTCCTAAGAGACTAAGAGTTAGGGTCTGAGAAACCACTGGGGTCGTTTTCTCCTGTCCTGTAGGGTCCCTGTGAGTCACAAGTGACTTGGTGCAGTGTGGTTGGGTTGATACACTCTCCAATTACATATGCTCACTTTGGAGTCCGTTTTTCTGAATGCAAATCTAAGCTCCATGACTTATGATATGTGAGATATTTCACTATTTGAATATTTCTTATATTCTCTGAGGCTGTGTCTTTGTGTACAAAATGGGGACATTGACAGGAATAATAAATTAGTTGTGAAAATTGAATACATGTTTGTAAAGTTCTGTGATAGTGCTGGACTTATAAAAATCACACATTCATTTTTTTTCTATCTTATTTTTCTATATATAAGGATTCCCAGCGGTTGGGGTGGGAGATAGGTATCTCAGACTAAGAAAGGAAGTTTCTCAAAATCTCCTAGGGAATGTTGATATATCCCACTATATTTTCCTACTAAAGATTTTCATGAACCCTTGTATGAAAGAGATGAAACTTTCTCTCTCTTCACTTTAAGAAATGTGCTTTTCAAACAATCAGATATATGAGGTCAAAAGGATAACACTTGTCCCAAAGCACAGAGAGTCAAAGAAGGGACCGGGACACTGGACGGATAGAAACTAGAAAGGCAAGCGGAACTGGGAAGATTGTTGACACATTGCAGGGATAAGTACCAATGTCAAGGAACAATGAATGCAGGAATTATGGAATGAGCAATTAATTTGTTCTATACTACAATAAAATTTCCAAAATGGATACAAGAGGGCTTTAATACATTTGTGGAAAATTGAATTATCTTTTCATTTCATTTCCCATGAACCCTTTGAAATGCACTCATATGCTGCAAAGCTAAATCCAAAATAAACACTCAAACAAGCAATGACACAATGTGTTTGTACCTGCTGTGCTGCTATGAGTCGAAATCAGCTTGATTGCAATGGCTTTTGATTTTACTTTAAGCTTGTGTTTTAAAATAATATAACCTGAGCTCTGTTGTACAAACCCATCAGATTTAACTGGCATGCCATACCCTGTTTATAAAATACATTGGAATTTACATGAAAAAAATTAGCCTGGACACACTGGGAAAATCTTTACAAGTATTAGTCACCTGGGCACAAATTGGATAATAAGCAGAAGTAACAGATACCTCAAACTTCAGGATCCAAACTCATGTGGTACATGCTTATCTCTCAGATCGAGGAGACTAACAGTAATATTTGAAGTTGTTTCCCATTCCCCACCTCCCTGATAGATTTTAGACTTTGTCTTAATTGACTCAAGTGAGTCTAATGTTAGAAGAAGGTCCTTGGTGGGTACAAATAGTTCAGCAATCAATGACTAATCAAATGTTGACGGTCCCCACTCACTCTGAGGCACGGGGAGTGCCACCCAGCTGCTTGCTTGTGAGCCCTCTGGAGTGAAGGGCTGTGCTTCCTATGAGGCCACCAGGGGTCAGAGTCAACTTGGTGCCCACCAACAGCAGCTAAAGAAATGACGTCACAGCAGTTGAAGCTAATGGTTTTTAGTTTGATGAAATGTTGTAGTGGAATATTATCAAAGGTCTAATTTTCTTTTAATGACAGATCCTTACAATTTCCATGTCCACTCGGCCTTTCAAAATATTGGTAGTTCATACCGTCTACTGCGACCCAGTATGCGGTACTCTGGTTCCTAACCTTGCTGGGGAGGAAAACAGAACTGAAGATTTAAATGAAAGCAGATGAAATGTTTCCTATGCGGATCAGCTTTGATTTTCTACGTGTGGTGCTGTTTTTTCCCAAGCTGGCAATTTGTGAATTGGTTTTCAGCACTCCATTTAACTTACTGGCTGCTGCTGGAATTTATCCCAGGAAGATTGGCTAAAATAGAATAGAACTCATTCATTCATTAGTTTTTACCTTTAGTCTCTTAGAATATGTCACTCAGATTGAACCTAATATTTGATATGTTAGAGCCTTTCTCTACTTTTGTTTGTTTGTTTTCCTGCCGGGCCTTAACAATGACGCTTACCTCTGATGATTTTTGCTTGTCCACCAAGAAGCCTCTGAAAAAATACACTAAGCAAAAAGATTACATGTTTAATTATTTGGGTAATATCTATTTTAACTTGGACATATTCTATGTCATATATATTTTGATCATCAGAAGTGCTTAGATTCTATCTATTTCTGTTTCTTGGACAAGCATAAATCTAAAACGTTAATCTTCCCCTATTATTCCATTAGTATTTAAATGTACTAATCTCAATAAAGCCTGCCCTGGTTGTGGTTAGGTGTGGTCCCATGTATAAGAGGATGAACCGTTGCTTGGCCCTCCCCCTTCTCACAATTGTTTTTCTCTTGGAGCCTAGGTCTATTGTTGCAGCTACAATGTCAATTCTTCTTACCAAGGGCCTTCCTCTTTCTTTCTGCCCCTCCTTTTACCAAGCACTGTGTCCTTTTCCAGGGACTGGTCTCTCCTGTTAACATGTCCAAAGAATGTGAGATGAAGTCTCTAAATGCTTGCTTCTAAGGAGCTTGCTGGCTGTACTCCTCCAAGACAGATGTTTGTTCTTCAGGCAGTGCATAGTATTTGTTCATATATATCTATATACATATATAATATTTGATTATAGATATACATATATGTATGTATATAGATATAGATATAGATATATACAAACTCATTGCCATTGAGTCAATACTGACTCATAGCAACCCTATAGGAGAGTGTGTGGGACTGTTGCTAACTCTTTACAGGAGTAGGAAGCCTCATTTTTCCCTTGAGGAGCAGTTACTGGTTTTGATCTGCTGAACTTGCTGATTGCAGCACAACTTTTAACCAGTAGGCCACAAGCACCAAGCCACACACACACACACACACACACACACACCATTTGTTAATATAAGACATCTTGGTAGAGCAAATTTATCCCAGGAATGACACATATAGATTTTTTCTCCCTGTGGTCATAATTTGGTACCAGTTTTACAGGTTTTTTCATGTTGACAAAGCATGTATATTTCAT